AATTTTAAATTAAGAAGATTTTAAATTTTAAATTTTATTAAAGATATTATGAGTATTATGAAAATACTATTTTTCTTTTTCAAATTCTCTCTCTTTCTTTCTCTATCTCTAAAAGACTATAAAAATAAAAAAAAACTAACCTCAAACTCAATATTACCCACAGATTCTCAAAGAGAAGCGATCAACCAGATTAGAACAAAAACTTGCCATGTTTGATTGTCATTGCAGATCTAAAGTAGAGAGCAAAAATCAAATCACGATCTCTAAATCTATGGCAAACCTAGAGACAACTTGCGTAAAAATTAACGAGGACGTCGAAATCTTTGCCATCTCCGTCATTGTCGGACATAGTGGCTCTGCAACAGGATGGAGACTCGCATGTCAGGCGATGGACTTCACGGCTTCGAGCTCGAGATCTGAGGCAAGCTTTACGATCTCACGTGGTTTTGCCATCTCCAATAGTTTTTTTAGCACAATTGTTTCCTAATGTTTAACAAATTATCTCTCAGACTTTTAATTTTAATAATCAACTTCTAAATTTAAAAAATTGTTACAATGTGCCACATTCAACTAAATTTACATGGATTTTTGTTCGGTTTAAGGGATTAAAAGATGAGAAATTGAAGATTTCTGTTACATTTGAATTTAGGATGTTAGAATTTTTCATTGAACGTGTTTTTTCGATACTAATTTAACATAATCAAAGTCAAAATGGGACGTATTGCAATAATTTTACAAGTTGAGGGACAATTTATCAAAATTAAAAATTTATATGGCAAGTAACTAACTCGTACAAGTTCTGAGGACAAATGTGTAAAATAACCTTTTATGAAATTTAGCTAATATTTTGTCATTTGACAACTTACATTTAAAAAAAAACAATACAGTAATTCCATAACTGTGTAGTTTAGTTTTAATTTTTTTACATTTTATCTCAATTTTTGTAGAAACCATAAAATTATGCAGTAATTCTTTAAATATATAGTTTAGTTTTATTTTTAAGAATTTATCTCTATTTTTGTAGAAACCATAAAATTATGCAGTAATTCCTTAAATATATATTTTAGTTTTATCTCTATTTTTGTAGAAACCATAAAATTACCTTTTGAATTTGAAAAACTTGGGGTTCAACATCATCTTTTCCATGCTTTATGTGCCATTTATTAGACCAATTTTTTTAAAAAAATAATTTTTTCTTAAAAAAATTTAGAAGAATATTTTAAATATTAAGAAACCATTAAATTTCAATTTCTTTTTGAAATTTTATGTTCTGCTTTAGAGTTTTCTATGTTTTGTAACTGCTTAAAATATTTTTAAAAACTAATTAAAGATATATTTTTCTATATTTTTTGCCAACAAAATAAACGAGATGAAATTAAAATAAATTTCTTCAATTTTAGAAGATACTTCTATTGTTTCTAAAAGAAAAAAAATTAGATGATATAAGATACTTTTATTGCCGTTTTGAAGTATGTATGTTTTTCTTATTTTTTTTTTAATTCTTCTAATTATTGTCCATCGTAAGTTCGTAATATCTCTTTTGTTTGTCAATTTATCTGCTTACTGTTGTTTGTATGATTTTTCAGTCCACAAAAATCATTTGATTGGTCCGAATTTCTATTTACTAAATGAATAACAGTTTTAGTTATAGGATAATAATTTTTGTTATTATTTATTAAATAGAACTTCAGATAAGTCAAATTAGAATTTATTAATAAAAGTAAAATTTTCATTTTATGTCTTAAAAAAGGAGTTCATGATATAAAATAAGATGTTCTTTTAAATATTAAAGTATCATCTTATCTTATAATATCATAAAGAACGTGGTATACGAATCGCATATTTCACTATAAAAAATAAAAATAAAAAATCGCAGATTTCACTATAGAAAGAACATAACATGAATACATGATATCGAAAATGATTTTTTCTTTCTTTTTTTTTTTTTTTTTTTTTTTAAATTTTCTGCTTACTGTCGTTTGTATGATTTTCCCGTCCACACAACAAACCTACTAAAAATCAAAAATCAATTATTGCCGTGAAAAAAGAGAGGGATAAATCTCAAAATAAAAATCCCACGCTTTTCGAGCCGAAAACTTTTAGAGAGAGTGAGAGAGAGAGAGGAGACAGAGAGAAGAAGAGAAGAAGAATGGAGGACATGAAGAAGAGGAAGCTGGAGGAGACGGAGGGCAATGGTGAAACCTCTTCGGAGGAACACTTGCGTTCGCTTCTCGATCCTCTCGCTAAGCCCCAGCTCGTCGATCTTCTTGCCGAACTGTATGTTCTTCTTCTTTTCTTTATGTAATTTTTAGTTTGAATTTGAGTGTTTGATTTCTAATTTTCTAAAAATCTCTCTCTTTGAAGCTTTCGAATCTGACTACAAATATACGACTTATTAGGTTTGATTTTGCGTTTTTTTCCCCCCTTTTTCTCTCCTTTTTTAATGCCTATACTAGGTTTTCAAACTTGTGTCTGAAAGTTAGTTTGAGTAAGGAAATTGTTGTGGGAGAAAGTGAGGTTTTTTTTTTTTTTTTTGGCTAAAAAGTAATATTTTTTGGGCTAGAATTTTGGCTAAAAAGTAATTAAGTCACAATAAAGAAAGAAGGTCCCATGAAGGTTACAGCTTTGGCAATTAGACATGGTGAAAAGGAATCTTAACTAGTTAACCAGGATTTCTGTTGAAGATCTTGAGCGCCGCAATTGTTTTCGAAATCTGAATGCTATGCAAACCATAATTATGACCCGTTTGGTATATGGGTTCAAACCAGAGTTATGACTTTTGAAATTGTAATTTTTTGTAAGAGAAAAAAGAATCAAAATTATGGGTTTGCGCTGTGGCAGAACCCATATACCAAACGTTACCTTCCTTTTTTTAGAACAACTATAAGACTTTGTACAAAAGCTAAGGCCTAATACCATCTACAATGCGTGTAGCTATACAACGCCAATGCCAATGCTATGTTTGGCACGTTTGATATGTTATTTCATGTTGCAACGCATAATGCTATTTTAAATGGTATTTCTACTTATTTCATAATTGTTACAAGTGTATTTTTAATTTTTAAATATTTTGAAAAGGACAATATTGTTTTATTAAAAGAAAAGTATAATCGTCCTTCATAGATTCCGAACTCTGAAACCTTCTTAAACTATGAGCCCCTACGGATCTCTACATTAAACATTCTATTAGGGAACCTAGTCTTCTCTTCTGTGTGGTATTCATTCTCGTTCGGCTCGTGGAATCACATCCAGCAATGGTTGTAACAGCTCGCAAAATCCAACCACTTTACCTACTTCATTGCCCCCAACTCTTTCTTGTACCTCTATTGCAACAGAATGGTTACATTAACCAATTGCAACCAAATTCTTAAAGTTTGGCATATGTTGTGCTTGATAGTGGGTTTACTACTCAAATATCAAATTTGACATTGGTACATTAGTTTAGCACTGCATTGGAGATGCTCCAATTTGGAGCTCTTGAGTGCATTTCAAGCGTAAACCTTTAAGCAAGCCTCACTTTGTCTAGGCTTTGTCCTTTAAAGAAATATTATTTACTATTAAAATGGCTTATAAAAAAAGATATGCATTTTAGTTGTTTTGAACAATTTGTACCTTTGAATTTTAATTTCATATCAAATTTATGCCTTCTCCCTTACTCAACTACTAGTTTTGACCATTTAAATTACAATTTTACTTATTAAAGATTAATAGAAGCCTGTTCACTCTATACCTTAAAGCTAGTAAAGTCATCATTTAAGTGGCAAAAATCATCATTTGACTGGAGTCTGGAAGAATGTATAAAATTTAATACCAAATTGAAATCTAAGGGTACAATGTTGTTAACATCCAAAATACATGGTATGTGGGGTGTATTATTGTATTGATACATTGAAACTCGAATCTTTTTATTCTCTGTGTGTGTGTCAAGTGTGTTGTAAGCGTTTTAGTTCTTGTTGCAGTGCTTTTCTTCATGTTGCATTTTGAGAGACTTGTGTTAGGAAGGACATAAACAGTTTGCTCCCCAATTGTATGCTGTGTGATTGACGTGGTGCATGTGTGTTTGTTTGCATGTTGAGGCATAAAGAGGTTCCCAATATCCTTCAATTGCAGACAAAATTAAAAGTGTTGCAAGTGCTGATCCTGTCCATCGAAAGCTTTTTGTTCGGGGCTTGGCCTGGAATACCACTTCAGAAACTTTGTGTGATGTGAGTGCATTGCTGATTGTGTTTCGTGTGTCATGCTTGTCACCATTGCATTCTGTATCAATATATTCTCCATTAGAGGCAGAGAAGCAATTTGCTGAAATCAACTCCACGTTGAATTTACCAGCTTCGTTCTGATGCCCCTCTAGGTTGCTTGAAAATTTTAGGCACTTGGGCTTCTAACACTGCATTCTGTGGTGATTTTGTTTCCAGGCATTTAAAGCGCATGGAGAAATTGAGGAAGGAGCTGTGATTTATGACAAAGCAACTTTTAGATCGCGTGGCTATGGTTTCATCACTTACAAACATATAGAGTCAACTCAGATGGCATTGAGAGCACCTAGCAAGCTCATTGATGTAAGCCTTTGACGCATTTGATACGCTATCTGCTTATGCCTAAGCTTCTGCCCTTTAATATATCATCTTTATGACTACTTGGTATACTAGTGAGGTGATATTTCTTTGCTCAGGGTCGAATGGCGGTTTGTAATTTAGCTAGTGAGGGCTTGACCGGGACAAGTACTACCCCTGATCTTCCCCAGAGGAAGCTTTACATTGGGGGCTTGTCACGAGAAGTCACAAGTGAGATGCTGCTCAACTTCTTTGGAAGGCATGGCAAAATAGAAGAAGGTTCAGTTGCATATGACAAAGATACTAATGAATCACGGTGTGTTACCAATGAGCTTCTATATTTTGGAAAATAATACTTTCCCTATTTTTTCTGCCTAACCATATAGAGGAATCACTTGTCATCTTTCTTTCTTGTGCAGTGGGTTTGGCTTTGTTACATACAAGACAGTGGAGGCAGCAAAGAAGGCAATAGATGATCCACAAAAGAGCTTCGCCGTAAGTATTCTTAGTCTTATCTCTAGTTAAATTGTAATAAGATTGATGACAGTTGCCGAATAGCCTGAATACAATCAGTAAATGGGCAATGGTTGGAAAATGCTGGGAAAGAAGTTAAGTTGTCGTATTTTTGTTATTTTTGATGGGGTTCATCTGGGAATATTCACCTACTTTCCTGAGGTTTGAAGTAAATGCTTGTTTATCTGCTAGTTCCGACAGTTTTAGCTTTCTAGATTTCCTTCTCTTCATCATCATCCTTCATTGAGAATTTTGAAATTTGACTCTCCCTTTACTTTTTTTTTTTGTTTTTTTTGTTTTTGGGTACCAATTCCTTGAAATCACATGGAAGAAATGATTTGATGTTGTTTTTAATCGCAGGGGAGAACTGTCATAGTCAAGCTTGCAGATTCCCACAAGGGCAGGACAGCTCAAACACAGTTACCCACAGCAATGGTTCCAATGGCCTTGCCTCTGGGGGGCGGATATCCGCACCCTGGAAAAGCACATCATAGCACTGCTCCAGGTGGATACGGTTATCCTCAAATGGCAGCACCCTATCCCGATTCTTCATACTCTAGTCCTACCGCATTACCTGGTCCATACCAAATGCAACCTCAAGTCTCATATCCGCCAGCCAGTTCAAAGAACGACTCCTTTGGACCTCCACCAACAATGCCTATGGGAACGGGGGGTTACCCATATTACATGACTAAACAATAAAATTTGTAAGTTCTAATTTCCAGGGATACCGTATGGCAATTGAAGCCACTTCTTATTTTCTTTCGAACTTATTCTGATCTCTACTACCAAAGTTACTTGTGGTTTTTTGCTTCTCATTCTTCTTTACCTTGGATTCTGCAGGCCTCTCTACCTCTTGCTCCAAAATATGGGCAAATGATTTTGTCAGAATAGGCACAGGGAATTGGTAAATGGCATAGAAATCTGTTGTTTTAGTACTGTAAGGTGTTTTCTATTAGCTAACTCTTACTCGTCGTTCTTGCATCATTAACACCGATAGAACCTGTTCATTTGTGTCTGAGATAGTTTGAATTGATTTTCTAGTTGAAGTAACATTTCTATCCCAAAAAAGGCCTGAAGGTAGTCATAAAAATTGGTTGAAATAGGATTTAGGTACCAGTCTACTGATTCGATAAAACACAGGATACCATGATGCGATTCCCCTTTCTTTCATTCGGAGCACCCCCAGCAAAACGATGCCATCATGGAATCCCAGTCATCAAAGAGTAAATGGAAGCCAAAACACTCTTTGTATCAATGAGGATAAACACCCGGGGAGCTCGGGGCTCACATGTCCTTGTGTGGTGTGAGCCCCTGACTCCCCGGAGCCGATGTAAGGGAGAATGACTTGAGTCACGGCTTTTATCAACACTTTAATTCCCACCAACCAGAAAGAGCTTTCTTTGCAAGTGCAACTTCTTCCATGCTCTATCCTTTCACTAAACGGAAAACTTCATTTTATTCCTTCCAATGAATGATCATTGAAGGCAGGCACCACGTGGTGGTCGGAGATGCACTTCTTCTCCAAACTCATTTGGGTACACCACCCTTTATTCTTATGATCCTTTTTTGATATTATTATTATAAAACCAACATGGGCTAAAAGCAATTGTCGATGTACCCAAGTTAATCAATTGCCTTGTCTGGGCATTCTCGTGCATTAGATCTGGAAAAGATCACATTGTTAGAATAAGCTACTCTCCAAAACCACAAATCCTTCCTTCAATCTCTGCTCTAGAAGTGAGACTGTAGACAGAGGAGTAGATATTATTTTTTTGTTCGTATAATTAGTTAATCACAAATATAATTGGAATGATGCAATGATATTAGTTTTAACCTTAACTTTTTGTACTAATTTTAAGTTGTTATTCGCTTATTAGTGGGTCTTTAAGGGCTGTTTAGTTCACGCATTTTAAACTATATTTTTTTCTCACAAAAATTTCAATAAAAAAAGTTACTGCCAATGGTTCTCGCAAAAAATTTGATTCAGAATTAAAATTACTGACTTAAACGGGTCATAAGAGATTGTCATATCAGATTGTCATATCAGTTAATAATAAAGATTTTATTTACCAAAAGATGATAATACAGTTCATATAAAAATTAAGATTAGAATTAATATCCCTAGCAATACTCATATAACTTTTGTAGGAGTAATCACAAATGTGATGGATTATTTATTTAGTCTATAGATTGTCTAAAATATTGTTGCCTTTTACTCTGTGAGCCCTTAAATTTAATAGAAATGACCAATAAATCTTAAAACATTAGTAATATAAATTTTGACATAGATTCTGGTTTTTAAAACTTTTGGGGAGGAGGGAGTAGAACGCATACTTTTTCTTTGTTTTTTTTTTTCTTTTTTCCTTATTCTTTCTATTGGATTTAAAAAAAAAATGTGTTTTAGGAGAGCAAAGGAATATTTTATGTCTCCTAATAGTGACACAAGATACATAGATGATAATTTCTCGGGCAATTTTAAAAAATACCCCTTAAAATAGAACACTTTTTTATTTTTATTTCTTAACATTAGTTTATATATTTCTACTTTTTAGATTAAAATTAATCGAGGGATATAGTTTTATAAAACGGATACTTTTGGCTTATTTAGATTAAAACTAGTTGAGAGGTAGAGTTTTATAAAACTGATACTTTTAGTAAGTCAGGTACTTAAAGAGGTAGAATATGTAATTTTTTTTTTTAATTTTTCTTAAACTATACATGAAACTATTTTTTTTTTTTAATAATGTTAGGACACCAACTTAAATAATAACTTTTATATGCCAACTGATTTAGCATGTAAGTTATCATATTTTTATTGGTAAATACAATATCTTATTATTAATTGTCGTGAAAATGTTACAAACACTTATCAATGTAAAAATGACAACTCACGTACTACATTAGTTGGTACATAAAAATTGAGATTTTATTTTTTATTTTATTTTATTTCTTTTGGAGGATTACATGACGAAACCATTTTAGTACTGTTCAAACGACTGTGAGATGAAGTCGTTTAATTCCGAGACCAAATTAATTATTATCGAAAAAAAACCTTCCGGGTACTTCAGTCACAGTGGAGCTTTCGAAACAAGAAGAATCAAACAACATCGAAGAGACGAAGTAAAGCTGAATCTCCCAAGTTCCTTCGTCATCAGAACTCACTTTACGCGCACCCATAAACCTCAAAGGTATGATTTCAAATACACTTCGAACTTAAATCTTTCTTTTTGTTCCCAAAATCCGCCATTTTTGGTCCAGGACCAAAAACCTCACGGAAATGAACACAACCCATTTGCGAAAACTCAGAACAACGTCTATTCTCAAATGGGGTTCTTCTTATTTCGCGGGAAACCAGCTCAACTCTCAAAAACGACAACTTTGGCCAAATGGGTATTCCTTAGTTTCTCCAAACGCAAGGCTTTACAGAACGAAAAGAACCGAGGAAGAATCTCCAAACAATGCGGTTAGAATTCCCCGGAGGATCAAGAAAGAAGCCGAAGCCGCGCTTTTGGAGTATTTTCACTCCACTAGGAATTTCGATTATCTTGACGCAGAGAATATGAGTAAAAACTCTCCAATTTTCTTATCCAAGCTTTTGAAACGGGTCAATATTGAAGATGAAATTGGGCATTCCATTGCTCGGTTCTTGCGTTACAACCCCATAAATGAGTTTGAGCCTTTTTTTGAAAGCTTGGGCTTGAAACCCTCAGAGTATGGTCCTCTTTTGCCCCCTCATTTGGTGTTTTTGAGTGATTGTCGTTTCTTGCTTGAGAATTATTATTTGTTGTGTGGTTATGGATTTGAGCGTCAAAAGATAGGGAAGATTTATAAGGAAGCCACTGAAGTGTTTTCCTCTGATGTTAAGGTTTTGGTGTCAAAGCTTAGAGCTTATGAGAAACTTGGGATTGGCCAAGCTTCTCTTGTTAAGTTTATTATCTCTAGTCCTTATTTTTTGATTGGTGATGATGTGAATGCAGATTTTGTTGAGGTTTTGGAGAGGTTTAAGAGTCTTGGACTTGGAATTAGTTGGATTGAGGGGAATTTGTTGGAGGGTAATTCTTGTAATTGGAGTCACATGCTTGGACTTTTAACTTTGTTTAGCAAAATGGGGCTGAGCAAAGAGCAATTGGCTGAATTAATCAGCTATCACCCTGATATCTTGTTTGAGGATTCGGGGAATAGGACGGTATTGCTAGTTGGATGCTTGTTGAAATTTGGATTCACAATGGATCAAATAAGTTCCATGCTTATGCGGTTTCCCGATATTAAAGTTGGGAAATTCGTTTCAAATTGGAGGAGATGTTTTTTGTTCCTGAATGAGGTCAAGATGGAGGCGACAGACATTGGGGATTTTGTACGCTCTCGTGCCTTGTTGATGGGGACATGTGATTTACATAGAGCTAACAGCTTATGTACCAAATTGAATGTTGGTAAGAAGAGGCTTTGCAAATACATTTCGGAGAACCCACAGGAGTTGAAGAATCTAGTTCTTGGAGCAAAGCTTAAGCCATTTCCAAGGCTAGAGGAAGACCTTGCATCGGAATCACTGAGGAACAAGTTCTTGTTGGACTTGGGATTCGTACAGGACTCGGACAAAATGAAGGCGGCGCAAAAGATGTTCCGAGGCAAGGGAGGGAAGCTTCAAGAGAGATTTGACTTTATAATGAGCTATGGCTTGGACAGGGAGGAGGTTTGCCGAATGGTTAAAGTTTCACCTCAAATCCTTAACCTGAAGAAGAATGTCATTCAGACCAAGATTGATCTTCTTGTAAGACAATGGGCCTATCCCGTATCCTCTATTTGGGCATTCCCTTCAATCCTTAACTATAAAGTTCAAAGGGTCAATCTTAGGTTATCTATGTACAATTGGCTCAAAGGTCAAGGAAAAGCAGACCTATCTTTGAGCACTATTGTGGCATCCACAGAGAAAGAATTTGTTACACAGTTTGTAAATCGCCATCCTAGTGGCCCTCAAGTTTGGCAGGACTTGAAGGAAAAGATTTATTCCATATAACTATTACCAAATGTATTCACTGCTAGTTAAGTTGTTATCCCTTGTTTTTAGCCTTCTACGACAGTGGAGTATCGTTAGATAGTGTGTGTGTTTTCGAACGTTAAAACCGGTTAAAATCACATCGAAATTAAAAACTATATAAAAACTGACACAATTTGACAAATCATGTGAAATTAAAAACTATATAAAAACTGACACAATTTGACAAAACTCTAGTGGTTTACAATAGTGTCCTATGATAGGATATCTTTTCATACCTATCGAAAAATTCCTTATTTTCGTTTACCTAACTGTTTGTGTTACCTAAAACTGTTATCCTTTTGTTTGTTTTTCCTGTTTTCTTGAATAGATTAGGATGACAAGTAATCTACATAAGAAGAGGCCATTATTAGCCTGTTTCGGAAAGGAGGAAATTACGGTCATGTTTAGAATTGATCCCGTTTTTTTTTTACGTTTTTCGAGAAAGAAAAAATGAAAACGTTTCTAAAACGGCATTTGACGCAATAAAGACAAAAAGCGGAAATGAAAATAATTTTTTGGTTTAGTGTAAAATGAGAGAGAAATAAAAAATAATTTTTAGTCGTTTTTCATTTTTTGCTTTCATTTTCTCTTCTCTCGAGCAGAGAGAGAAACATTAATGAGTTTTTTTATACCGAAAACAATCTATTGATAAAACTACCAAACGCATTTTCAAAAATGATTTCTGTCTGAGATTGAAAACGTTTTCATTTTTATTTTCATACAATCAAATCATTTTGAAACGAGTTCTAAACGCGGCCTATAATTTTGATGATTGTTTAGTGTGATATGTAAATATGCGGAACACTTGAAAACCACCAATTTGAAGATAACAAGCTTATCCTTTTTGAACTCGTTTAGAAGGTATACTCAAATTATGAGTTTTGATTCTGACATTTGAAATTTAGATTTTTTTGAGAAGAAAACACTGTAATAAAATCAATAATTTAAGTTTGAGTATATGAAACAAACATGCCCTTATTATTTTCTAAAAGTTATTTGCCAACTACATGATTGTTGGTATGTTTGAAATTTAGATTTTTTTGAGAAGAAAACACTGTAATAAAATTAATAATTTAAGTTTGAGTATATGAAACAAACAGGCCCTTATTATTTTCTAAAAGTTATTTGCCAACTACATGATTGTTGGTATATCAGAATAATTTGGAGGAAAGGGACATAAATTCTGTTTTTGTCATGGGAACGAAATTAAGATTGTTTTTCATCTTTTATCATTACTCAAATGGCCTTGTTCCCAAAACTTATTAGATCTTTTGATAAGTTGTGTAATAATACTCTAAACAACCAACTGATTTTTGTTTGCCCTGGTTTGATTCGTTGGTTTGAACTTTTTGATTTGAACAGAAAAATTTAAATTGTGTGGTTTAAATTATAGTTTGAATTGACGTTTGGATATGTAGTTAAAGTTTTAATTTGAACATAGAATAAAATTCAAATTTGTGTGTGGTAGGTGTGAAAAACAGAGAGTGAATACTTTTTACTGTTTAAAAATGGTTTGAACAATTGAACTTGAGAGGAGAGCTAAACTCTAAGTTGGGCTGTTTAACTTAGTTTAAACAGGAAATATAATTTAAACTGCATAATTACTAAACGTCAATTCAAACTGTGCTTATTGTTCAAATTGAATTAAATTAAACTAAACTAGTGAAAAAAATAAGAGCTTTATTTATTTCGGTTCAGACTAATAAGCTATCTTGTTAAAAAGAGAGTTTTATGTGCTCCAAAAGACAGCTTATTATTAATTTAGTTATTTTTTGAGCTCAGCCTCTATTTCTTCTCCGCAAGATGGTTAGATTTTTATTTTTTTTTATTTTTTTAGCTTAGAGTTTGGACAACTTTCACTTGCCGATGCAATCTAAACTTTGAATAAAATCGACCCTTGGCTAGGACAACCACTTCACATCTACCATAATCACCCATTTTCTTTCTTTTAAGTTACCATAATCACCCACTTAACCATCAAACCAGCAAAGATTTGTGCTCTTGAATTCGAGCTTTTAGTATATTCGTTATTAGTATGTTGAGGTGTTCTCTTATTTTCAGACCCTAAGTGTGCGTTTGTTTTTATAATGGATCATTAACATTGTGTTGAGATACTGTTTATTAATTTTTAATTAAATGTAATTTTTCTTTTAAAAAAAATTTAGAGGATTTTCCATGCACTCTTTTCGATTGACACACGTGTAACTGTGTAAAGAAGAAAAAATTAAGCTCTATATAAAAATAAAATCTTCAACTATTTTAAAATGCTCTTTACCTCCAAGTATAAGTTCTTCGAAGAAAAAAAAAACGACGCGCACAAACACCTAACAACGACAAATTTGAATAGGAAAACACAATTAAATAGAGTTATTTGTAAACTAGACTAAGGAGACGATTGGTTTAGGGATTAGAATCATGAGATTAAAACTATTTTTTATTTACGTGTATTTTTTATGAGAGAAAATATTATAGCAAATCATGAATTATTATTCAAATCATTGTATAAATCTCCTTACCAAACGTCTCCTGAAACTTTAAACCGATCACCAATATAGATTAGATCTATGTGGAGATATGTATGTCTTTGATTTAAAAAAAATGATATATAATATATATTAAAATTAAGAGAAAATTACAAAAATAACTATTATTATTCATCATCTTATCATTTATGCCATAAAAAAATATTCTTGTAGAATATGAAAGATATCTTATTAAAATATTAATAGCATAAATGATAAAATTTAAAATTAATTGCAGAAATAAAATAGTGTTATCTTTTTATGGTATATTTAAAAATTTCTCTAAAATGAAATATAAAATAGATAAAATATAAAGAAGAAGCCCTATTATGAAAATGAGAAAACATGACGAGAGAGTTTAGGATTGGCTTCACTTCAATTTATATTTTCCTTCGTCAAAATATACAATAATTCTCTATAAGAATTTTACTTAACGTCTTGCTCAAAAAAAAAAAAAAAAAAAAAAAAAACTTAACATCAAACCTAATTTCGTGACATATTAACTTTTTTTAAAATTAAAAAATCTGCATTAATATGCGACAAATACTTTACTCAGTATAAAGTATGTTCATTTTTGTAACTTTAATCAGATTTTGTTAATTTTTAATTATAAATATAATTCCACACTGGAAATTATTAGAATGCCTTAAAATATAAGCCACTTGATCTTCTTTTTTGATTGGTCCTAGCACTTAGTCATTTCAGTTCATTCATTAAAAATATCTTCTTTTTTTTTTTTTTTAAGTAACACTGGATTCCTCCTGAGCATAGTTGTCTTGGATAGTATTGACTTTGAGTAGTAGACATAAATAGTGTCTCCAGTTTCCTTTATAAAATTTCAAGCAAAAAAGAAAAAAAAAATTGCTTTACTATCATCTCAAATAATTAAGTCATTTTAACAATTTTAGATAATATTAAAGAAAATTAATTAATCCATTTTCAAAGTAATTTCCAAAAATAAAATGATATTCCACATTTATCCTTGAACTAATAAGAATTTACCTCCGAAACGTTTAGAACCCGTTTGGTTTATGAATTAGCACCATGAGATTAAAATTATTTTCGATTTACGTGTGTTTTTTATGAGAGAAAATACTGTAGCGAACTATGAACCATGATTCAAATCAGAAAATGAATTCTCCAATCAAACGGGCTCTTAATTTTAACAATATACCCCATACTTATAAAAAAAAGTTACAATGAGCTCCATTTTACTAATTTTATTTTGATGTTTGGTTAGATTATGGGATTGAGAATTAGAAAATTAAGAGATTTATATAACAATTTAAATTGGGATGTTAAAATCTTTGTCACGTACTTTTTTCATCGTTAATTTATTGTCACGTCCTTTTTCATCACTAATTTTAACACAGTAATCATCAAAATAAAGTTCATTGTAATAGTTTTATAAATTCTCGGCAAATTTGCAACAATTACCCAAGAAATTCTTTCTCACCAGTTTCCTCCTTACTTCCTCTCTGCCTCCCCACTTTGGCTGAGCTCTGAAACTCAACAAACAAAGAGGCTTTTGACAACTCTCTTCAAGCTTCAAACTTTTTGTCTTCTCTTTGTTAACACCATTTTTTCTGATCTGGGTCTTCCTTATTTCTCATTCAGATCATAACTTTCAACCCATTTCAGCGTCTCTGCTGCTTCACCTATACAAAACAAAAAACAAAAAAAACAAAACAAAAAAAAAACCCGATTTGGTTCTTGGGTTACTCTAATCTGAACATGGGGGATTCAGTTTTCAGAATAGGATGCAACGGTTCATCAAGTTAATAGAATGTCATAAGAAGGTCAGTTTCATGTCTTTTTTATTTTTTCAATCTTTTCTTTCGTTTCTTGAATAATATGATATAGAGTTTCATCGTGTTTCTCTTGCTATTTGTGTTTGATTGCGAATATGTAAAAAAAAAAAAAAAAAAGGTAGTGTTTTTCAATCGGAGTTTCTCTTGATCTTCAATCAGAGGGATTGGGTTTTCAAAACAGTTCAAGATACAAGATTTGGAGTTTCAATTCTGCATGTTTCCCAAGTTTTTTGGATTCAACCTTGTTATTGTCATGAGTGAAGATAATATGGATTTGGCTTTGATTTTTCTTGTTTGTCTGCGCATTTGTTCTTGATTTTAGCTATGAGATATTTTAGGTTATTAACATTGTTCTAAAATCCATATTACTATTACTATGCTTTTAAAAATCCATTTTTATTCCATATTCTTCATGTTTCCATGAATTTTTTCTTGGTTCTCTCTCTACTTCAGTAACACTTGAGTTAGTTCTTCACAAAGGTTGAAAAGAAGAAACAAATTATCCACTTAACTGAATCTAGTTGAGCCTTTTGGCCTGCTTAATATTCTTTTATCTAAGTTGGGAGATCACAATTTTTTGAAACAGAGAAGAAAAAAATTGAACTTGCATTTTTTTTTTTTGGTTCCATTCTGTTTGTCATTAAGCTTGAGAATATGTCCAGTCCTTAATACGTCTTAACTTTTGTGTGTGTTCTTTTTTTTTTTTTTTTTTGCCCCTTTAATATTGACAAAATACATGGATCTCATTCAATTCCCTTTTGGCTCAAAATATAATTTATATTGATTGTGTTTATGCAGAAATCTTCTTCAGTTTAAACGTTTCCTCGAGGTTTTCAAGTTCTAACTATGGGTAGAGTTAGGGGAAAAGGGAAGAAAAACACTGTTATTGCTGTTCGCGAGGATCCTGGAAGCGGCGGAGAAGAGAAGATTCCGGCTTATCAAAGAAGGGATAGACCGCAAAAACCGTTGAAAGATGATATTCAACGGGAAGAAGAAACTGAGAAGACAGAAGAAGATGGTGAAGAAGCAAAGAATTTGAAATATCAAGGTGCAGTGGAGAATGGAAGGAAGAGAAAAGGATCTGCACAGGTCAAAGAAAATATGGATTCAGTTAAAGAGGAAAATGGCATTGAAACAAAATCCGCCCCGGATGACACGACAAAGTTTGTTGGTTTTCGACAAAATGGCAGTAGGCGGAAAAACAAGCCACGTCGGGCTGCTGAAGCTGGAGTTGAATGCAAGTGAGTAAGAGTCACCTAATGAAATGCTTGGATACCTTCTCTTTTAACTGTTGGATAAAATCATAACCATTTAGAAAAGGCTAGCTTTGTAGTTTACACACCTTTGTTACATGTTATGTTCTTCTCCTAATTTGTTTTAGATCCATTTCTCAGAAATGGTTGATTTTAGTTGGAGACTTTGGAAAAGTATTCCTTACTTTTCTGTCATTTTGCTTTGCTTTTGTTGCAAGTGACCAGAGGCTTATATTGGCAATATTTTTCTTACTACATACATTCGAATTTTACATGGTTTCACCCTTCTTTCTTTGCTTTGAAAGCATTCTGAAATTGGGCAAATTCTTCCTCTTCTTACTGATTGTTAGAATATGATTTCTATGAACAAGCAAATTGATATTGACAATATTTGTAATTTACATGGTTGAAACAAATTATTTCATCTTATACATTTTTAAGTTCTGTTTTAGGTCCTTCAATGAGATATATAGTTGCTCTTTGAATTATATGATAATTGCTCTTGCCAAAAGAAACAGTTTTCTTGTTCTGATTAAGCTTTATAGTTGTCCACTCAAATCAACCCGGTGCTTAGATTGCAAAATTGAGATTACATTTGATTATCTCTTTGTGAGTGATGTTCTCAGTTTGATTTTCCGTTTGTTTTATGGGTTCAAACCCACTAGTTTGGGTTCAAATAGTGTTTTCTCTCCAAAATTTTTTTTGAATTTAAATAGTTCACTATAGTGTTTTCTCCAAATTTAAACTCTGATTCAAACCACTGTTTTGAACTTATCTTCCAAACGGGCACTTTCTGTTCTGTTACTACATGAATTTGAAATTGTATGTCAACGACTAATTGGAGATTGTATTCACTTTGAATCATTTGCTCTCTGCACATGAAGGATACTTTGTGGTAAAAATTGTTGTTTGATTAATTGTTTATAAGGGAACAGAACTTAGGTGGGGGAATTAAAAAATGAGATGGACAAGTATAGCAGTAATCCCACGGTGGTAATAAAAGTTGTTCAGATAATTTGGTCATGTGAGAAGAATATGTATTGGCCTATTGGGACAATAGAAGGGTCAAGTTCCATTCTCTTGAATGGCCATTTCTGAGTGTAGAGTTGCAGAATGTATAATCCTTTTGTTCTTTTTTTTTTTTTTTTAAGGTTACATAGATAGATGATAGCATACCCAATTAATTTATGGACGCAATGCATTCTAGTGTGGCATATGGATCCCTCATAAATTAAAATGTCTATATATTAATCTATTATGATGGAATAAGATTGACTCGAACTTAAAATCTTATTAATGAAAACAAGCAGACTCACCACCTCACCAATCAACAGTAGCTATTTTTCTCTTGAAATGTTTGCAATGCCATGCATGAATTTTAATCAATAGAGCAAAGCTCAAATCACATTATCCAAGCTGTGGTGTAAGCTTGCTGGCCAGAATAGTAGGGACATGTTTGGATCCCCATTTATTCTTTTTTTTTTTTTTTTTTTCCCCAAAGGTGTGGTCTTGCAGAAGGTTAACTTTCATTGTGTTTAGGTGGGCCCTAGAGGAAATGTCTGGATTTCACAATCAACCCTTTTGAGAGTATCATAATCATGATATATTGTTGCTCCACTGACAAGAAACTGAAAATTCCCTTGTTAAGCATCCTATTTCTGGCACTGAAAATCTTCTCCACTTTGGTCATCTAGAATCAATACTTGATTCTTATTGTTGTGTGCCTTTTTTGTTCTCCACAAGGAAATGTATCTATTAAAACACAATTTGAGGTGGTCAATATTATAGGATTTTATATTACTTTGTGACAGTACTTGAAAATTCAATAAAATCAATAAAATATATGATTTTGAGGAAAAAAGAAATGCACAAGATTTTTTATGCTTCAGCAGTAGGAAGTCTGATGTATGCTCAGGTTTGTACGCGTCCGGATATTGCGTACATTGTTGGGATGTTAGGCAGATATTTAAGTAATATAAGAGTAGACCATTAGAAAGCAGCCAAACGGGTCTTGCGATACTTACACAGAACAAAAGACTACATGCTCACATATCGGAGATCGGAATAGCTTGAGATCATTGGGTATACTGACTTCGATTTTGCTGGATGCCAAGATAGTATGTTGGAAGAGTGCTATATCTACCTGCTAGCTGGGGGTGTTGTTTGTTGGAAGAGTGTTAAACAGTCTCTTATAGCCTCTTCTACCATGGCAGAAGAGTTCATAGCGTGTTATGAGACATCCAATCACGAAATATGGTTGCGAAATTTTGCCAGGGAGCTGCGCATAGTGGATAGTATTGAAAGACCACTCAAGTTATTTTGTGACAATAAGTCGGCAGTTATGTATTCCAATAACAACAGGAGCTCAACGAAATCATATAGACATAAAGTTCTTAGTGCTGGGATTGGTGTCCTAGAAGCATGAGATGTAATAGGATATTTATTCTTTATTTAATAAAAGAATTTATTCATTGTTTATGTGCATATATTTATGAATATTTTATGAATATTAATGAAAATTTCATGATTATTTATGTGACCTTAAACATTGTATATATGTGTTATATACGAGAGGATAATGTTTAAGGATAATAATCAGAATGATGTTCGTAATGAATTTAATTAAAATTCAGAATCTTTAATTAAAACATTATTAATACATATCATTCCTATTTAGAATGGAACAGTGTTATCCGCACTGTTAATATGACGAGATATTGAATGAGTATATTTCATATAATGACATTATGTGGAAGTGGGACACAGACACAATATGAATTTTTGATAATTTCCGTAAAGTATAGAAATTCTAATTGAGTCTATCGATGGTCATATATAGAACGATCTTAATCCTGAGTTATTAGCAGACTCCTATTTATGAATTTATGTTTTTTTATTTACTCGGTACAAATTCTGAGATCCTGAATCATATTCCTTGTATTTTGGAGACATGATGAAGTAGGTAGTCGGGAATGTTATTATATGAGATGGAATCCATTCATTCTTGAGAAAAAAGTAGATAAATAATTTCCTTGAGGGTTGATTCGGTACTTGAATAAGTAACGAGCTCGTATTCATAAATGTGTTTTATAAATATACTATTCATTAGAGAATCAATGGTACTCAAGGATAAAGATGTAATTAGAGACGTTAGCGGATTTTACTTAGCTCTAATTATGAATTATTTATGGATGATTGATCTATATGTAGTAACTATATCAAATGGACACTTCACAGTTTAGAAGTAATTTATGTTTATAATTACGAGAGTGTAATTCCAAGTTTATAGTTGAGTAACTATTGGAATTAATAAGATTAATTAATTAATTAAAGTGTTTAATTAATTATTAATTTTATTGGAGCTCAAAATTATAGGTCCATGAGTCCCCCGTCGTCCTTGTAATTCTACAAGACACTAAGGGCAAAATAGAAATTTTATAATTATAAATTCTAAAATTTAAACACTAGAGAATAATTAATTGATAATTAATTATTGTTTAAATAATGTGATTATTTAAATTTAAATTTTAGATCACTTATGTGAAGGTGTTCACATAGTGTGAACGCAAGGCACGGTGTGAACACAATTGTGAACACATCTGGAATTATCCATTTAAATTTATTTGATAAGTTGTTCAATTTGAAATTTAAATTGTTTTAAGTTTGACTTAAAATTGGAATTTGAATTTGAGTCAAAATTAGACTGTTAGATAAATACAGAATCTTGCCATATCCTCTGCAGATAATGGTGCCTACCACAGGGATTTTATCCCTTAAGGTGACCGGCCATTAATGGATAAAGGAATGGAGAATTTGTTCCAAATTTAAATGAGAGATAATTGATAAGCTTTATCTTAGAGATAAAGTTGAGACTCATTCTGGGAGTCTGACTACTACTTTATAAATATGATAATTGTAGAAAATTGTGAGACACAATTTTTTCTCTCTCAAAATTAAGTGGCCGAAATTATGCATAGAGTGGGAAGGAAAAATCTTCTCCAAAAATTTCACATCGTGCATGTGTTGGTGTTCGTGAAAAATTTGAGTGTTTTATTGCTAATCTTATTTTATCTCAAGTGTGCCCACACACACGTCTTCGTGGATTCTAAGAATTGACGAGAAAGACTTTAGTTTTTTAAACTAGCATTGGAGAAAGGAACGTTCGAGGTCAAAGAACTCAAGATATCATCCTAATCGGCGGCTAGGTATAATTCCTAATCGAGCTCTTAATAAATAAATAAATTAATGTCATTAATTTATTTGTGCATAAATTAATATAATCTATAGAGTATCTTAAAAGTTTTATGAAATTTTTTATTATACACGATCTGTTACTCTCACGCTTTCGCATCCGAATTCAATTCGGAAACCAACACCTAGTTGTTAAGGAAAGAATTCAGAGTGGACAGGCGTCTCTTAATGTCTCTTAGTTTGCATACTTTGAAAAAGACAGGTAAACTTGCACACACATTTTCAGTTTTCACATAGATATATACATGTGTACAACGGGTTTGAGATCTACTCAACTCAGCACCTTTTTCCTTCAGTCAGACCTAATTTGTATCAAAAGTAACTACTCTTTTCCCATTTGACCATATCAAGAAGAATCTTCTGCCCCAAAACGTGAAATTAGTTTTCTGACTTGTGTATGCATTTTTGCATGCTTGTGGATCTAATATAACTAAATTTAGGCTTCACATGCACATGCGGCGGGGAGACTCAAATAAAGAAGAAGAAAACATTAAAATATTCAATTCAAATTATTGCAACATATTCAAGTTAAAAGAAACAATGATTTTGTCTATGAATTCAAATATTGATCAATTACTAATGTATTTTGTACCAAAAAACAAAACAAAATCACTCTTGAAACCATTACAATCTTTTATTTTTATTTTTATTGTTATACCTTGCATGAAATGGTACTAATATTTCAACATACGAGTTAAGACAGGGTTTATGTAATATTAATAAGATACAGTACTATATAAATGTTGTTAACTTATATAACTGTATTATACATGTACATGGATTTGTGGGTAGTATACGAGGGCGAGAGAGAATGTCTCATGTGTGCGTACATGTAATTTACACGTGTTTGTTAAGTATGAATAATGTGTTTATTTTTATTGTGTCTTCCAAATTTAGAACGGTGCAAACCAAGAACTTTATAGTTAATTTAGGGTCCAAAGAGACTTGATTATACCCTTGGTGAGAAAAAG